CTACTTGTTCGGGTGTATAAGTTCTTTTTTGCTTTGGCATTTAACTAAACTAAAAATATTTTTTTTATGTTTGCTTACGATACGATGATTTATTTATAATAATACAAAGTTCTTATTTTCTCTAACTGATAAGCTATTAATTTATTTATTTATTATTTATTTATTAAATATATTTGCTTACAGTACGATAACGTATTTATGATGATATTTTTAATATTCTTTTTAATTAAACGTCAGTTAATTAGCGTCCCTTTAGAGAGGGTTGTTAAAAAAAAAAAAAAAATCAGTTGATGTATTCTATTAAAAGTCAGCTACCATATTTTAAACCAAGATTTTGGTATCCAAATGTTGAACCAAACTTAGGATCAACACTGGCTATTTTGAACCTAAAATTTGAGTCAAGTGAAGCGGGAGCCGGACATTTTCCAAAATTCAGTAGAGTATGGCATATGATATGATGATTAAAAGTCAGTTACAAATATTTTAAACCGAGATTTTGGTATCCAAGCGTTGACCCAATTTTAGGATTATTTTGAACCTAAAATTTGGGTCAAGTGAAGCGGGAGCCGGACATTTTCCAAAATTCAGTAGAGTATGGCATATGATATGATGATTAAAAGTCAGTTACCAATATTTTAAACCGAGATTTTAGTATCCAAGCGTTGAACCAAATTTAGGTTATTTTGAACCAAAAATTTGGGATAAGTGAAGCGGGAGCCGGACATTCTTAAAATTCAATAGAGTAAGGCTTTTAAGTCTTTCGCCTCACTCCCCTCAGCTCCAGCCAATAATAATCGATAAAATGAATAACAAGACAATAGATTTAATTAACATTGTATTGTTTACATACGTACCATTTTGCAACACAAATTTAATAAATAGAAAATTGTCGGGTAAATAAATTTGTTTGTTTAAAATACAATCATTTGGTTTAATCATATCAAAATATATAATATGGTTTCACACTTCATGATTTTTTAAAATATGTGTAATTCTTTAATTTACTCTGACAATTTAACGTAAATGTTTAATTGGCTGGAACTGAGAAGAGCAAGGTGAAGGCTACAAGTCATACTTTACGAAATTTTCGAAAATGACCGGTTCCCGGTTCGACTGAACCAAATTTTAGGTTGCGTATCCAGAAATTTAATCTAAATTAGGCTCAATGTTTGGGTACCGAGATCTTGGTTTAAAATATAATAGCTGACTCTTAACTGTATATTAACTGACTTTTAATAATTGAGTAGTTTATTTATTAGAATATAAGAATTACTCTGTATCAAACGAGTACCATAGTCATCCCATAACTAATCAGACAACGGTGCAATTTAAAAATACGAGAAAAAAGAGAAACTTAAATAATCATTACATTACGAATAATGGATTAATATACAGGTATGATTAACTCTTTTAACATCGGTCAAATAATTTCTTTATTAATTTTCATGTCTTAATCATTCAATTAATTGTTTGTTTTTTGATTACGCATTTTACAGATCCACCTTCTTTTAGCAAAAAGTTGGTAAAGGAGTTGATAGATTGACGAAAGAGTTTATCATTAGTTATTCAAGTTAGTTCTTGATCTAATCCATTTCTTTACCCATATATACGTTAGTTTTCATTTTTCAAAAAAGTTATGGCGGTTTTGAATCGATAATTCATGTAATTATCATCTATTTCTAAAGAGGGTTTTTTTTTTAATAATTTTGGCTCTCAAAAAGTTTTGCAGTTGTTAAAATGTAAATATATTAAAGAAACAAAAAAAGTACTGGTTTGTAAAAAGTAAATTTTTCGATAACTTATTTAAATAATTAGACGTCTATTTACGCAACGGAAATTTACTATTTCCACAATTTAACAATACGCTGTTCTTTTTACACTTCACCGACAATCTTACATCACGCGGGCGGCCGACAATCGTTACATCACGCGGCGTGACAGTTTAGCATTTCAACTGGTGTGATGTCGGTTAAATCAGCAAAATTAGTGTCAAGGTGACGTAATCATTTTTTCTTTACTGATTTTCAGTACCAAGCCTCTGTTTCTTCTAATGTCAGTACGATTGCAATAAAACAAGGTTTAATTTACTCAAATAAAGAATAGTTTAATATAAATAAAAGTTGGGATTGAGTTTAAAATGTTACGTAGTGATTTTGGAAATTCTTGATTCTTAATTAAACTTGCAGATGTTTTTTAAATGAAATCACCAATAACCGATCGATAACAAAGTTTCGGCTTTATTCGTTCTAATATTAAATTAACTCTGAACGATAACGTTAAAATTTAGCCGATTCGTAAAGCATTTGGCATATGATCATCAACTTTGACAACATTGCACAATGTTACAATATTGCCTTTTTGGTTGACGTGCATAAATTTAAGTGCATACGTAAGGTACGTATGATTGTTCGTTAGTACGTACGTACGTACAAAGTCTAGTTTAAAAGTAAAACTTGTCTTCTCCTGGGCAATTATTATTATATTATTATATTATATCATATCAATTTAATCATTAGTTTTCTATTTTAAGAAATTATTTAAATTTTCTGACTTTTTTTGATACTTTGATTCGAATACTTCAATCACTATGAGTATCACGTCGTCTAAAGCTGAACAGCATTCAAGGGCTTCTGTAAAATCCCTAAAACTCAATACTAAAAGAGATTCTACTATTGGTATAGTTCTGTAATATTATTAACTTTAGGAAAACATTTATGTATAATCCATATAGAAATATGAAGCTGTCCTACACTATTACTTCATAATAAATGTATATTAATATATTGATGTATTACTTTTTACATGGATCTTTCTACATGGCTCTTTCTACATGGATCTTTCTACATGGATCTTACTTAATTGTCTTCCTGATCTTGTAATAAATGTTGGTATATTGATTTATTTTTTTCTTATAATTGTAGAAGAATCTTTAAAAACCTATCAACTTTTGGAAGCTCTTCGGTCAGGTATTTATTTAACCTTTTCTCAAACCATATATATATATATTTTTTACTTTTTGGTGGTAATTAGTGGCTTTTGAAGAAAAAATCGAATTCTGTTTCTTGGGATTTGATTATATCTATGTAGATCGTCAGATCAAAAGCTCTAAGATGAATAAATCAAATAATTGTAACAATTCCCGTTATTTATATCAATGTATTTCTACAATTTATTTTATATGTATATGTTTTTTTTTTTGCAATCATATTATATAATATATTTATTAGGAGATACAACTGTACTTTCATCACTTTTGTCCAACTATAATCTACCAGCATTGACATCACCTAATTCAATTTCTGGAGAAACTAATCATGTTATGCCACCTTCACCCCTTACATTTGCTGTTCAATGTGCAACAATGGCCACTATTGAATTTATTATTACAAATTATTCTCATATTATTGATGTTAATCAAAGAGATCAACATGGAAATACTGCATTACATTATGCCGCAAAATCTGGAAGAATAGACGTTCTTGAATTATTATTGAAACAAAAATATATTAATGATACTATAACAAATAATGAGGGTAAACAACCCGTAGAAGTTGCTAAAAATCGCGAAGTAACTAGTTTTTTGGAAGGTACTTATTATTATTATTATTATTATCGTATTATTATCATATTATTATCATATTATTATTATCGTATTATTATCATATTATTATCATATTATTATCGTATTATTATCCAATGTTTATATTTGATCGATTATATAATTAATTTTTTTATTACCGGTAATTAAATATTTATATTCCTCAGAAAACAGATCCAATTTTGTTGAACGTACTTCAGATCTATTTCAACAATATGTTGCTGATTCAAATTATGTTGGAATTCAAAGTCTTTTTCAAGATCCTCGTACAGCTGCCTTGGTTAATATTAATCATATTGATTCTACCAGTGGTTCAACTCTTTTACATGATGTTGCTCGAAAAAGAGATTTAGAAATGGTACAATTTTGTTTGGATCATGGTGCTGATGTTTCTATTAGAGATCGTAAAGGTAAATTTCCTGCTGATGTGACTAAAGATGATAAAATAAAGACTTTACTTAAACAAGGTGAGTTTTACTTACTTATTATTTATTTATTGTTTTATTATTTCCTTAACGTCAGTTCCTAAATTATAGGTGCTCCTGCAACAAGTCTTGTCATTACTTCTTTACATCATCAGCCACCAATGTTAAAAGGTTATTTACATAAGTGGACAAATTATGCTAGTGGATATAAGAGTCGGTGGTTTGTACTTGAAAATGGTATATTTCCCAATTTTACTTTTCATTTTACTTTTCAATTTACTTTTCATTTTACTTTTCAATTTACTTTTCAATTTACTTTTCAATTTACTTTTCAAATTTTTCTGAAATTTATTTTCCAATTTTATTTTAAACGTATAACATTTTATTTGTTTAATTATAGGCATGTTATCTTATTTTAAAAATCAAGATGATGCTGGAAATTCATGTCGTGGTTCGATCAATATGAAAATAGCAAAAATTTCTATTGATAGTACTGATAGACTTAGATTTGATATTATTGGTAAAGGTTCTGTAAGATATCATTTACGTGCTAATAATCCTCGTGAAGCACAACAATGGGTAGTTGCATTAACTCAATCATCAGCATATTATGAAAAAAATGATAAAGGTCGTAGACAAAGTGTTATTGATGATTCTATTAGTGATGAAACTCGAATAGGTCGAAGTTTACATAAATCCGAATCTCATGCTGATACTATAACATCTGCTGATTCCGATCGTGATCGTTCAAGATCACCATCAAATCAATCAATCGATTTAGAAAATGTTCCTAATGAAGATTCTTATCGTATAACTATAAGTTCTACAAGAGCTCAATTAGAATTACAAAATCAATTATTGGATTCTCTTTCTTCTACTTTTTCGGAATCTTCTTCAACTGAATCAAAAGAATCTACTATAATAGATACTTTTTCGCAATCCCTTAGAACACTTCATAATCTTGTTGATGATGTTCTTCGTATGACTGAAGAACGTGATGTATATTGGAATAGAAAATTGGAAAAGGAATTAGAAGCTAAAAGACTTTGGGAAGAAAGTATGCGATTACTTGCAATGGAAAAATCTGAAATGGAAAAACTTATACAACAAAATGTTCAAGAACAAAAGATGAGAAAAAAACAATTAAAAGCTGCTCTTGCTGAAAGTCATCTTAATTCTCCATCCAGCCCTTCACGTATGTCCTCTTCAGATATTTTTGATGCTTCATTTAAAGTAGCTGATGATTCTTCTAATTTACCTGATACTTATGGACAAAGAGTTTCAATGGAACAAGCTACTTCAATATTATCAATGTTGGCAGAAGATTATGATAATGATGAATTTTATGATGCTTTGGATAATAATGACGAAACTCAAGAAGTTGTTAAATTAGATGACTCAGAAATAATTACATTAAATAATTCTACTACTAGTTATATTTCCAGTTCATATTGTGGTTATCCTGAATTTATTCGAGAAAAACTTCCAATTGATGAATCTTCACGTCCTGAAGTTTCTTTATGGGCTATTTTAAAGAATTCAATTGGAAAAGATTTAAGTAAAATCACTTTACCTGTGTATTTTAATGAACCAACATCAATGTTACAACGTATGGCTGAAGATATGGAATATGGTGATCTTTTAGATATTGGTGCTCGACAAAAAGGAAGTACTGAGAGAATTTTATATGTTGCAGCTTTTGCAATGAGTAATTATTCTAGTACTGTTGGTCGTATTGCTAAACCTTTTAATCCGTTATTGGTACATATTTTACCCTTTATTTTTTTTCTTTTAATATCAAATATACTTATTTATTTAAAATAGATTTTTTTCATATTGTCGTATTGTCGTATTGTATTGTAGGGTGAAACTTATGAATATGTAAGACGTGATAAAGCTTTTCGATATATTTCAGAACAAGTTAGTCATCATCCGGTAAGTTAACTTTTTAATTAACGTCAGTTTTATAGTAATGTCAGTTACATTAACTAATTAAAGGTTTTATGATTTTAAAATTCATATAGCCAATAAGTGCATGCTATTGTGAATCCATGAATTTTGATTTCTTTGCAGAAGTGGATGTTAAATCAAAGTTTTGGGGAAAATCATTTGAAATTCATCCACAAGGTGTTTCACATGTTAGATTAAAAGTACCGAAAGAATATTGGCCAAGTGAAGTTAATGGAATACCAGAATCATTTATTGCTAATGGAAATCCAAGAGCATTTTCCGAACATTATTCATGGAAAAAAGTTACGACTTGTGTAAACAATTTAATATTGGGAACTCCATGGATTGATCATTATGGAGATATGATTATTACTAATCATTTAACGGGAGATATTTGTGTTTTAACATTTAAAGCTCGAGGATGGAGAGGAAAAGATGCATTTGAAATTAGGGGATATGTTAAAGATTCAAATAATAAAGAAGTATGGGAAATTGCGGGAAGATGGAATGAAAGATTAGTAGCAAGAAGAAGTGATGAAAGTTTATCAACCACAAATGATGATTTAGGTAGTACTTCTACTACAGTTAATGAAGCTCCAATAGATGAAATATTATTACCATCACCAACACATTCTTCAACTTCAATAAATACACGACCAATATATTTATTATGGAAACGAACTCCATTACCTGAAGAACCTTTACCATTTAATCTTACACAATTTGCTGCTACACTTAATGATTTACCTGATAGTTTAGTAAATTGGATTGCACCTACTGATAGTCGATTTCGACCTGATCAACGTGCAATGGAAAGTGGATTATATGATTTAGCTAGTTCTGAAAAAGTAAGATTAGAAGAAAAACAACGAGCAAAAAGAAAAAAGAGGGAAAATGGTCTTTTAAATGATCATGAACCTAGTTGGTTTACTCGTGATATTGAACCTGATACAGGTGAAAAATATTGGAAATTTAATTGTGAATATTGGAAAGAAAGAGATCGAACTGGAAAAGAAAAATCTGAAGGAATTGGTGAAGGGAAATGGAATATTCCTGATGATGATATTTTTTAAATTTGAACAATTATTAGATCAATTCGTTTTAGATATATCTGTTAAACTCAATCTCTTTAAATTTTTATTGATTTTAAGATTAGAAAGAGAGCTCCCGAATGAGCTATAGATTGGGATTGGGTTTCTGATGACGTTACGGATTAAATTTATTTATAGCGCGTGTAAAAAAAAAAAATAGTAGCACATATACTTTTTATTATAAATCATTACATTTTGTATACTTTTTATAAAATTTTTTTTGAGATTTGAGGTCATTGTTGAATAAAAAGTACGTACGTATGTACGATATGTATATAATAAAATTGTCAAATTTTTATTTACCAATACTAATCAAAGCTCGTAATAAACCTTTTATAAAAAAAAAAGAAGGAAAAAAAAAACTACATCGCAAATTCGTCATGTCTACTTGCTTATTTTTTTTTATTTTATTCATTAGCGATTAAAGTATTTTTCATATAATCATATGGGCTAGGATTTTTGATGGGAATATTGTGATCATTAAAAATTAAGTGATATAATAGAATTACATATAAAATCGATTATGAATTTGCTATATATAAA